AAGAGAACTGTGTAAAGGAATAATAAAATGAAAGGGGCCTTTGAAGATTAATTCGAAGCAATATAGAGGGCTCTGGAGACTAAGGTGCGTCTGATAGAGGCCATGGTCTTCGCAATCACTTGTTATGCATCAGAGTTGGACAATGACCAAGGAGGATAGAAGGAGAATTGATGCCTTTGAGCTGTGGTGCTGGAGAAAAATATTGAGAGTACCATGGACTGCTAGGAAAACAAACAGATTCTTCCTGGAAAGGGTTAAACCGGGTGGCTCCTTAAAGACAAGGATTCCGAGGCTCCGTCTAACATACATTGGACATGTTGTGAGGAGAGACCAGTTCTTGGAGAAGCACATCATGCTTGGGAGGGTGGAGGGACAGCGCAGGAGGGGAAGGCCCTCTATGAGGTGGATTGATTCAGTGACTGGGATAATCAGGATGGGAATGTCAGAGACAGTGCGACTGGCACAGGATAGAGCAGAGTTTAGGGCTGTTGTACATAGGGTCACTATGAGTCGCAAGCGACTTGATGGCACGTAACAACAATAGGATAGGGCAGGGTTCAAAACTGCAACAACAATACAGAGGGCCCACTGTAGAAAACAAAGAATAGAGGCAGAGAAACCAAATAGAAAACAAGGAGACATACCTAGTGACGTACCTGACTTGATTGGGCAGTGGTGGTAAATGGGAAGAAATAGCTAAGGGCGAGGCAGATTGTTTTTGTTTTAAAGAACAAAACAGAAGCAAATAAAATTATGACTACACAGGATGAAAGAAAATACTCAAATGAAGAATTCAAAGGTTTTAATATTTAGCATAGATGCTTTCTTAATAAGCAGAAACTAATGCACTGTAGTCTTCAATACAGACTGAAGCTCAACATCAAGAAGGCAAAGATTCTCACCACTGGGCCATTTGGCAGCACCGTGTAAATGGAGAAGAGACTGAGTTTGTTAACAGTTAACAGCTTGTTCAACACTCTTTGCACCAACAGTCACAAAATCAAAGGAGGAATTTGCACTGGGGAAAAATCTGGTGTCAAGGGAGCTCTCTACAGTACTAAGAAATCAATGATGTCAGTCTAGAGATTTAGGCGCACCTGATTCAGGCCACAGTCATCACAACTACTTGCTATGCTTCAGAGAGCAGGACTAAGGATGGCAGAAGAATCGAAGTCTTCGAATTGGGGTGCTAGAGAAGAGTCTTGAACATACCATGGATCACCAAGAAAACGTCTTGGGTTTCTCCCAAACAAATGGGTTTCCCATTGGAGGCTAGGATTTTGAAGCTCCATTTCACATACTTTGGGCATGTGGCCAGAAGGGACTGGTCCTTGGAGAAGGACATCATGTTCTGAAGGGAGGAGGAACAGACAGGAAAGGAAGACCCAGGATGAGATGGATTGATAGAGTAACTGGGGCAATGGGGGTTAGTGTGTTAGAATTAATGAGACTGGTTCAGGATAGAGCAGGGTTCAAAACTGCAGTATATAGGGTCACTACAGGTCACTGGTGACTCGACGGCATATAACAACAACAACAATACACCTAGAAACCATTACAGCATATGGAAAGGAAAAGGGAAAATTGAAACATTTAAAATCTAAATCCTAGACAAAATGAATGACAGACTTACTGTAAAGTTCCAGTTCTGAGATACAAAATTCTTACTTCACTCTTCGAATGATTTTAAAAATTATATTTTCTTAAGTGGAAAAAACCCACAAAACCTTCATGGTATCTTCTATTTTTTAATAAACTCTATAATAAAATTCCCATTTTTTTAAGTGGAAAAGTGAGTTATTAAGGAAAGTCAATAAGCGTATTCATATACATGTTTTCACTATGAAAGAAGCAATGTTATTGTTGCTGTTGTTGTTATGTGCTGTCGAGTCACTTGCAATTCATAGTGACCTTCTGTACAATAGCCCTAAACCCTGCTCTATCTCTTGCCAACCTTTCTGTCTCTGACACACCTATCCCTATTACCCCAGTGACAGAATCAATCCATCTCATCAAAGGCCTTCCTCTCCTGTGCTGTCCTTCCACCCTCCGAAGCATGATGTCCCTCTCCAAGGGCTGTTTCTGCCTTGTAACATGTCCAAAGTATATCAGATGGAGCTTCAGAATCCTTGCCTCCAAGGAGCAGCCTGGCTTCACCCTCTTCAGAACAAACTTGTTTGTTCTCCTAGCAGTCCATGGTATAGTCAATACTCTTCTCCAGCACCAAATTTGAAAGGTATCAACTCTCCTTCTATCATCCCTAGTCACTGTCCAGCTCTCTGATACACAGCAAGTAATGGCAAAGACCATGGCTTGTCTCAGGCACACCTTAGTCTCCAGACTGACACCGTTGCTCCTCAGTACCTTGGAGAGGTCTCTGACAGCAGACTTTCCCAATGCAATTCAACTTTTAATTTCCTGGCTGATGGTATCAAGAGTGTTGACTGTAAAGCCAAGCAAACGGAAGCTGTCAACAATCTCACTCTCTTCATCTATCATGATGCTACCAATAGGCCCAGTGGTGAGAATCTTTGTTTTCTTGATGTTTAGCTTCAATCCATATCGAAGGCTGCAATCCTTGACCTTCTGTAGCAAGTGCTTCAGGTCCTCCTCAGTTTTAGCAAGCAGGGATGTGTCATCTGCATAACGCAGACAGTTGATAAGTCTACCTTCAATCCTGATGCCACAATTCGCACAGAGCCCAGACTCCTAGATAACCTGTTTTGCATATAGATTCATAGGACATGGAGATAGGATACATCCTTGATGCACACCCTTCCCAATTTTGAACCATTCAGTGCTTCCTTACTCTGTTCTGACCACTGCCTCTTGGTCCAAGTATACGTTTCGCATTAGCACTATCAAGTGTTCTGGGGTTCCCATTCTTCTCAAAGTCAACCACAGTTTGTTGTGATCCACACAGTCAAATGCCTTTTTATAGTCAATGAAACAAGATAGACATTCCTCTGGTACTCTTTCAGCCAAGATCAATCTGACATTAGCTATGCTTCTATTAAAGAAGCATATACAAATTAAAAATAAAATACTAGTTTGGCAAATAAACATTTTACATACAACTACTATAGCCTTTGTTTCTCTTTTCCACATTCCGGAACTCACTAAGAGGGAATTTAGGAACTCTAAATGCAGCCAGTATTGCTGTTAGTTTGCCTCATCAGGTAAGCCTCCTAATAAAAGGACCTCTCTCTCTTTCTTCCTGCAGAGGGTCAGTATGGTAAGTAAAAGGAGAATGAATGTAACACAATAGCTCACCTGAGGAATTATCCGTACTGTTCAACTAGTGTGTTCATGTATTAAAATGACAGATCTTTTCATTACTAAAGACTAAGTTATTTTTCCCAGAGTGGATGTTAACTAGTAATGATCAAGCTCAAAACTCAACAGATGTTCCTTTTGACTAACAGCATGCTTTTGCAAAACAACTGACTACTGAGTGGAATGACTCACTGGCCTACACAGAACTCAAAGTCTAAGAATAATCCTCTATCCAAGTTACCTGCGCTGCAATCACAAAGGCACGTGGTTTAAGAAAGAGGGGCAATCTCCTCTTTTGCAATTAACGACCTCTGAAAACCTGCTGGAGAGTCTGCTATGTGTCAGTTCTGACTTGAAAACATACAACCACCACCACCACATTAAGTTACCAAAAATCTATTCTATTACTTTCAATAGTTTAAATTTTGACAAAATCCAGAGGTGTTTTAAAAAAACAAGGTAGGCTATAATCTCACTGGATGGATATAGATGTCTGTGTATAAGAAACACACACACACACACACACACACACACACAGAATGACTCTCATTTATATCTATGTAAAATGCTATTTTTAAATAAAATTTTTTTTTATTTTAAAACATTATCTTTAAAAGCCAGTGATAAATAATAGATATAATTCATAAGCACTTAAAAACCCCCAAACCATCCCACTACTGTTGAGTAGACTGTCACAGCAACCACAGTGATTGTCAAAAGCAACTTGACAACAGCAAATTTTAACAGTCAGTTTAGTTTTGGTAGACTAGTTCAAACAGATTCTGACTCAGAATGACCCTCCAATGGGTTTCCAGAGCTCCAAATCTTGATGGGAAGAGACTGCTCCTCTTTCTCCCTTGGGGCAATTCCGCTGTCAGTGCTCTTAGTATTATTTAAACTCTAATTAAAAGGGGAGTGCAGGTGGCTTAGTGGTAAGGAGTTGTGCTGTCAGCTCAAATCCATCAGCTGCTCTGCCAGAGAATGTGGGCAATCTCCTGCCATGCAACTTACTACCTCTGAAAACTTTCTGGAGGGTCAGCTATGAATTAGTTCTGTCTTGATAGTACATAACTACTGAACAACATGACTAAAAAGCAAAATCTCTTCTGTAAAATCATTTCTGGAGGGCAAGTCTATTAAACCATAAAAAAGCTTAACAATGAACATGCTAGCATCTTCAGAGGTAAAAAGACCATTATCTAACATGCTAAAACTTAACTAAAGGGGGAAATCTTCTTGAGTTAAAAAATAATCACAATTTATTTCTATTTAGCACCAGAAGATATGAAAGAAACTATATCTCAATAATTATTTCATTGCTCTATCAAATCACCTGTGAGATCTATATATTGTGACAACTTACCTCCAAAGACAATGAGGCAAAGAGTTGTGATAACTGAAATAAATGGTGGCAAGGGAAAAGTCCATAGCTACACCGTTGTAGGCATTCAAAAATGTTGAGCAAAGAAGAAAGTCTGCACTTAACGCCTTTTCTACCAGTCTAAAGAGCAGCACTATAAATTCACCGAAACCCAGAGGGTATATTTATCAAAAATTTTGCGGTGATTCCATATTCAACTTTTTAAGGCTTTCTAATTTTTTTTTTTTTTAAATAACACCTAAAGTTTATTAGATGACAGCACACACAGGAAACGCAATAGTCGAGGAGCCTACTATCCGTTCCCAAAGGGATCATCCTAAGAATTGAGACCCAAGAGGCAAACCCCGGCAAAGGCCTGGTCTGCTGGCGTGTCGCTCGCGGTTAAAAGGGCTGCCTGCAGCGGGCTGGGGCCCCAGTTATGCGCAAACTCATGCTCTTGCGCAGCAGCGTAACCCCCGGCAAGGCTTTCTAATTTTAAATGGGCTCATTTATAGATTAGAAGAGAAACATGATTAAATATTTCTATTTCAAGTCACTTACAACTCAAAAAATAACCAACAGCCTACATAATAGAAACTCTGCAGTCATAGTTCAGCTCTTACTGTAACCTTCCACAAAAGTGTTTTTGTTTTAAAGCATTTACTCCCAAACTTGGCATCATAAGAGCCCTTGTATATCCTATGCTTTACACTATCGTACATTTCTTCTCCATGTGCTATTGTTCCATGTTCAGCTTTAGTGAGAGGACATGAAAGATGTCTTTGCCAAGCCTGTCCTTCTTAGATCTTTTTTTTTATTTTATTTTTATTTTATTATTTTTGTGTGAGTGTACAGTCAAATCAGATCTGACTGGTACAGGAGGAGACTGTCCCTCCTTCCCCGGCAGAGCATCTGGTGGATTCGAACCGTGCACCTCTGGGATTGTAGTTGCAGCTCCTTACCACTAGGCCACCAGAGCTCCCCTCTTTCTTAGATCTTATGCCCATTAGATCTTTTATCCTCATGATTTCTCTGCCTTGTCCCTAGAATTTCCTAGATTCTCCTATAGACATTTTTTGTAATACTACATACGTTTCATGAAGTCTGTTCTACATATTCGTTCTTCTATATTAACTTCCTTAGGGCTCATAATTAAAGAACACCATTTTTTTAAAACCAAGTATGAAGATGTAGTTTAAAATTATCAGCAATGAAATCAGTGTTGCAATAAATATTGTTCAATGTTCAAACTGCAGCAACAATTTTAAAGGCCAAGTAAGCTATGCCAAATATAAGCATATATTTTTTAAAATCATTTAGAAGACTCAAAAGGGAGAGAAATTCTGTTAGTAGTAGCTTAGTATTTTTAAAAATATACAAATAATAATTTTACACTGTTACTAACTCTGTCATCAAAGTAGAGTCAGTAACTGACATCTTTACCATCACCAATCTAATACACAGCTTGCAGAGCACTGTCCTTTTTTGCATACAACTAACACTTCCTTCAAAGTAAAGACACTCATGAAACAAAAAAATGCAATTATATAGTTACTGAATGCAATATGAAATATTTTAATTATTCTTAATAATTACTGACTAGGCAAGGCCAATTATATGAAGTATTGGACGTCCGGCATAAAACTTTGGTTTCATTATTTCAGCTACATCAGTAGAACTTATAATCTCTAATGCAGATTTCTAGGAATTACAATTGTATATTAACTGTACAACTGTTTGCAACTTACTTTTGCTTACTAATACTTTTTATATAATGCTATAAATAATTTTACTTGGAAAAAAACGGAATCATTAAATGTGGAGCTACAACACAATGGGCGTCTTTGTCTGTGTTGGCCAGGTCAGCATGCTGTAAACGGGGTCAGTCTGACTCAGAAAATATTTACTTAATAATGCAGTAATGTCTTGCTTCTCCATGGGTCTTCTTGGAACATCAAACTCGGGACATAGCTAAGGGCTCAATGTTGTTACTGTTGTTGTTAAGTGCCATCGCGTGGTAGATGACTCATAGCGACCCTATATACTAAAGTCTTGAACACAAAAACTTTCATCTTTTCTCTAAGTTCATAGAGTTTCTGGAGGCAAGCTATTTTGGAAGTAGATGCCACTCCTGCTTCCAAAGGGCTCAATAGTAAACTAAAACTCTCTAAGCAGAAAAAGAACTAAATTGTTTCAAAGCACATGTATTTGGTTTCATCAGCCCTTTGTTTTTGAAAACTAGTAACCTGGATTGTCTAATAATACAAATTTAAAGAGGCAAATTAAATTAGGGGAAGAGGCTGAGGAGAAGGAGTAAAGCAAGGTGAGCGGATCCATAATGATGAGAACTGGCAGCAAGGGAAAAGGAATAAGAACTACAACAATGAAAGAGACCTGTACGGTTCTAATAAAAGAGAATTACAATTTCTATAATAGGAGCAATTGTTGCTGTTGATTGCCTTCAAGTTGAGCACAACTCATAGCAATCCTATGAACAAAAGGCCTGAAGTCTCTCTACAACTATCAACGCTTATCAAAGTTCATAGTTTCCAGAGGCACATTGTTTATGAAGTGGAGGCCACTGCTCAAAGTTACAGCTCTAGGTCTATACACTAAAATGAGGGATGACCAAATGAAACTTAAGTTATTCCAAGCTCCATCTGCCTTGTCAGTACAATGGTCATACAACATAAAATGGCCCTCATCACACTATATAAGACTTTATTTTTAAATGGTATTTTAACATTTTAAGAAATTGATCATTAAAAAAATATAGTGTAGAGAATTTAGAAAGCATTAAAAGAATAAAGACGAAACTGCCTATAAATTCACTACCAGGAGACAACCATTCTTTATATTTTGGTAATTTTCTTTCAGCTGTCTTCATATATAAATAAATATATATCTCCTTTCTTGTAACTTTTTTAAACCTAGCATTGTTTGTGGACATTTTCCTAAGTTAAAAAAAAATGTTTGTTGTTGCTCTCATCTCACTGCTGCCAAGTCAAAACCAACTCAGAGCTGTCTGACCCCTCGGCAGGCTTTATGGGGGATAATCTTTCTACCACTGACGGATTCAAACTGCCAAGGAGGCATGATCTTTGAGTCAGTAGTAGGGCTCCCAAGAGACTACACCACCAGAGTCAATCATTTTTTACTCACAGTGACACCACGTGACAGAGGAGAACTGTAATCTTTAAGGAAGCAGATAGCTAGGTTTTTCTCAGGCCACTAAGTGGATTTAAACTGTCAGCATTTTGGTTAACAGCTGAATGCTTAATTATTTGCACCACCAGGGCTGCACACACAAAAAGAGTATTTAAAATATCATTATAAGCACTAGATATTGACTATGCAAAGACTTTTAATTATAAGGATCATTACAAATTATAGATAACAGTGAGAATGGGAATTCCAGAACACTTAATTGTACTCTCACAAAACCTTTACTTGGACCAACAAACTGTTCTCTGAACAGAGCAAGGGAATACTGCAAGCTTTAAAATGTGCATCAGAGTTGTATTCATTCTCCATACCTACTAAATCTGTATGCAGAAAAATCATTTAAGAAGATGGACCATACGTGACCCGGCCATGGGGTGCTGCTACAGCAGTGAAAACGAGGACTCAGACCCGGACTGCGAGGAGTGGAAGCTGCTGTTAGACCCCAGCAGTCCCCTCACCAAAGCTGTCAGTGGAGCTGAGCCCAACTATCACAGCTTGCCTTCTGCACGTAGCCGAGCAGGCCCTGCTCTCCTCTATCCTTGCCACGACAGCCAGCAACATCACTGGTGTGTCTGCCGCAGACTCCAGGGCAAGACAATACAGCTCTCCTAGGCAGTGCTCTGCAGCAGCCCGACCCACTGGAAGCTGGCCGCCGCCGCCATCCCTCACCAGCCAGGCCCCCCTTCACACACACACACACACACACACACACACACACACACACA